CAGGTCGATAGAGTGGTCAAGAAGGCATACGGCATGCTTTCATTCATCGGACGGGGTACTGAGTACAAGAGTTGGCAGGTCATGTTACAGCTGTATAGGACTTTGGTTCGACCACATTTGGATACTGCGTACGGTTCTGGTCGCCACATTACCAAAAGGATGTGGATGCTTTGGAGAGGGTGCAGAGGAGGTTCACCAGGATGTTGCCTGGTATGGAGGGCGCTAGCTATGAAGAGAAGCTGGGTAGATTAGGATTATTTACACTAGAAAGACAGAGATTGAGGGGGGACCTGATTGAGGTCTACAAAATCATGAGAAGTATAGACAGGGTGAATAGCAAGAAGCTTTTTCCCCAGAGTGGGGGACTCAATTACTAGGGGTCACGATTTCAAGGTGAGAGGGAAAAAGTTTAAGGGAGGTATGTGTGGAAAGTTCTTTACGTGGAGGGTGGTGAGTGCCTGGAACGCATTGCCAGCGGAGGTGGTAGAGGCGGGCACGATAGCGTCATTTAAGATACATGAATGGGCAGGGAGCAGAGAGATACAGATCCTTGGAAAATAGGCAACAGGTTTAGATAGAGGATCTGGATCGGCGCAGGCTTGGAGGGTCGAAGGGCCTGTTCCTGTGCTGTAATTTTCTTTGTTCTTTGACTACTTTATCCAAGACCTTATCCACAAGAAAAGGAAAGCTCTTCGGGAAAAACAACATCACTAGCAAGGCAAAGAGGAGAACTCATCGAACATCAAAGTCAAAGTTACAAGGAAGAACGAGGGAAAATCAAGAACTAATGGTGGACTGAGAAAGTTACGGAACTGCAACTCCTTGCTGACAAGCATGAGACCTGGGGTTTCTTCAGTGCAACCAAAGTATAGCAATATACAGACCCAATACCCTTGACCTGGAGTAAGGATGGCACCCTATTGAGAGCCAGAGAAAACATCAGGCTCTGATGGAGAGAACTCCTAAATCGCAATACATCATTGATGAGGACGTGTTTGAGGAAATCCCCCAATTCCCCTTCACAGGTGATCTTGGACTCCCACCTAATGGTGTCAGAAGTTGAAGCCTCCATTAAACACATGAATAATGTTAAAGCTGCAGTAGATGGGATTCCACTGGAAATTTTCAAACTTGCAGGAGCAGAGCTTACCTGTCATCCCCATCAATTGTTCCGGAAAATCTGGGACAAAGAGGAAACTCCTGTCAATCTCAGGGATGCTGCCAACACCACCATCTTCAAGCAAAGAGAATGAAGTCGACAGTGGCATTTACTGGGGAATCTCCATACTCTCCATCGTTGGGAAGATCATTGTCCAAATCCTCTCTAAGCGACTTCTCCCAGTCTTGGAGGAAATCCTTCCTGAAAGCCAGTGTGGCTTTGGACAAAACCATGGAACTATGGGCATGATTGACACTGCTTGGCAAATCCAAAAGAAATGCCAGGAACATCACCAACCATTCTACGTGGCCTTCACCGATTCATTTGGTTTTTGACACAGTCAATTGGCAAGTGCTATGTCATAGACTGGCTGTCCAGTGATATTAATCAACATCCTCTGTCTCCTGCATGGCAAGATGTTGGCAACCATCCTCAACAATGGTAATATGGAATCATTTGATGCCAAGACAAGGGTCACATGGGGATATGTCATTGTCTCCCTTTCCCCCAACTTCATCGCCACCATTCTTCATCTTGAGCTTCCCAGTGGTGTGGACATTGTCTACAGGATAGACTAAAAATTTTTCAACCCTAAACAATTGAAATCCAAGAAGGAAACCACTTTGACATCGCTTGTGGAACGTCTGTAGGATATATCTCTGCTCTCTGGGAAGAGAATTATCAAGCTTCACGTAATGCTTTCATGGAAGCATACTGAAGAATTGGTCTCAGCTACAACTTCAATATCCTTTAATCAAATCATCCAGGTCAAGTGCCAGTCCATCCCTCCATTAAAATCAATGGAGAAATTGTGCCAAATGTGGAATATTTTCTCTACCTGGGAAGTCACCTCTTGCCTGAAGCTGACATTAGTTGTGATGCTGAATCAACACATCAATCGGTAATCACAACCTTCAGATGCCAAAGGATGACAGTTTTCGTTGACTAACGTTCATGCCAATAGAAAGATCCTTGTATGTAAGGCAGTCATCTTCTGACTCTTCTATGTGGCTCCATTAATCCAGTTTTGCATTGCATTATCTGTCATTTTGTGGAAAAACTCTTTCATTCACTTAGGCATCAATGGCTAGGCCAGCATTTATTGCCCCTCTCAATGGTGAGCTGCTTTCTTGAACCTTTGCAGAGCATGTAGTCTAGGTGCATCCATGTAGCTGCGAGGAATGGAGTTTCAGGATTTTGATTCTGCAACAGTGACTATCTCACGTGTCAAGTTTCAGCTGTGTGGCCCAGTTGGTAGCAGTTGTGCTGGGCTCATTATCACTGCACCACAAGAGCCAACAAAAAGTTTAACATTCTTTTGATTCATTTGAAACACGGGGTGGAAACTTCCCAGGCCCTGCACAACGTGACTAGATATTTTCTATATCAATCTGTTCAGAGATATTAGCACACTTCTGGAGTGGGACTTGAACCTAGGCCACTTGGTTCAGAGGTAGGGACACTAACACTGCAGCACAAGACTCCACCCAAATTACTTAATGAAGTGGAGAGGCATCAAGATTTTATGCCCGCCCTAAATTAGCAAGACAATATTTCAAGCGTCCTTAATTATACTTAAAGATCCGGCCTCAACAGCCCTCTGCGGTAAAGTATTCCACAGATTCACTACCCTCTCGAGAAGAAACTCCTCTTCAAGATTCAAGATGGCGGTACAGTAGGACACTCTAGTCAGAGCTCCTCTGCTTTGCCAGTTCCTTTTCCTTTTTTTCCCCTCTTTTCTGCAGTTTTTCTTCCCCTCTCCAACTTTTAATTTCTTAAATTACCCTACCCGGAGGGAATGGAGAATGGGGGTGAGTGTGAGTCCAGCTGGACGCAGGAGACAAGTCGGATTCCATGCCAGAACTGGAGGCGAGTCCTGGAAGCGAATCACGGCCATTTCTCGGAGTGGGAGCAGACCAAGCACAGGCCAACCTGGGAGGAGAGTCCCAGAAGCAAATTGCAGCTGGAGCCCAGAGCAGGAGCAGCCTGTGTGTAGGCCGATCTGGGAGATAGGTCCTGGAGATGAGTCCTGGAGGGGAGTCTGGGCTGAAGGCCAGCATGTGGAGGCAGCAAGACCTCATGTTCTGAAGCCCAGCGGGCACGGATTCAGTGAAAAGGACTATTGTTTGAATACTTTTAAAGATACCTTTTATTATTATTCTGGGCCTTGAGTAATTCGAGTACTTTTTAAAACTTTGTATCCCTATGCTAGGCTCTTCTTCAGTCTTTCAATTCTGTAACAAACACTTAAAGTATCTTTACCTCGGTACCCTGTATCTAAGATGGCGCCACCACAGAAGTGACATTACAAACTTTTCACTGCATTCATTCAAGTGCATGTGACAATAAAGACTATTCCATTCTATCTCTGCCTTAAATGTGCAACCCCTTATTCTGAGATTAATCCTCTGGTCCTAGACTCTCCAACAAGGGGAATCAATCCTTCCATGTCTACCTTGTCAAAGTGGCGCTGGGGAGAGAGTCAGTGTGTGCGTGCAAGAGAGAGAGAGCGCGCGCATGCAAGAGAGAGAGAGTGTGTGCATGCAAGAGAGTGTGCATGTAAGAAAGAGAGAGCGTGCAAGAGAGAAAGATTGTGCCTGCAAGAGAGACAGAGAGATAGAGTGCATGCGTGCAAGATACAGAGAGAGAGAGAGTGCGTGCGTGCAAGTTTGTGTGTGTGGAGAGAGAGGGAGACAGAGAGAGTGTGTGTGTGTGTGGGAAAGAGAGAGAGTGTGTGTGCCTGTGTGGAAGAGAGAGTGTGTGAGAGTAATGTTCCGAAAGCCTTAATTTTCAAATAAACTTGTTGGATTATAACCTGGTGTTGTGTGATTTCTTACTGTGGGCATCATTAGTTAGATGAGCATTTATCACACAGAGGGCACTTAAGAGTAACCAGACTGCTGCTGGTCTGGAGTCACATGTAGGCCAGACAAGGTAAGGACAGCAGATTTTCTCCCCTAAAGGACATTAGTGAAGCAAGTGCGTTTTAGATGATATTAAGCTACCTTGAATTCCAATTTCGAGATAACACAACATGGAGCTGGAGGAACACAGCAGGCCAGGCAGCATCAGAGGAGTAGGAAAGTTGACATTTCGGGTCAGGACCCTTCTTCAGCATCGGCAGCTTTTACTATCTCTGATTGAATTCCAATTTCGCTTTCTGCTACGGTGGGATTTGAACCCATATCTCCAAAATGTTAACCTCGGGTTCAGGATTACTGAAATACTGATATTACCACTATGACACTGGCTCACCTTAAATCCTATATGGCAACGGTTTATCATTTTATATGTTAATCGTCAACTGGACTGGCTCATCCAACCGAGTACCTTGAAGTGTATATGTGGGGAAGTTCGCTCATCCAGCCCTGCACCTTGCTGTCTCGGATTCTCCAGCATCTGCAGTTCCTACTATCTCAGAGTATTTAGTGCCATGTCCACCACTGAGACACAGTGGAAACAGTGTGTGCCATCGACAAGATACACTGCAGCTAATAATTAAGGCTCGTTAGACAGCATCCTTTTAAATCTGCGCCTACTACCAACTAGGAGGACAGAACATACACAGGAACATCACCAACTGAAGTCCCTTACTAACTCAGCATTGACTCTGTCAAGTCCCTTAAGAATTTTCAATAAGATCACCTCAAAAAAAATGGCATCTGGTTTGATATTTACACGTGGAGCAACCTTCTCCGTGACTATCTGGATTTTACATTTACAAGTGAACAAAATACTTGGCATGTATTCTTTTCGGAGTAGGGGATGAAGATCGTAAACATTAAAGTTCTCACCCCCACCCCCATTTTCTTGATGGTCAACTTCCAGTTCCAGTACTTACTTTACCGTTCTGCTGCGCTCTGGAAAAGTCGACGATCCCCGATAAATCGGGCGGGGGTTGGTGCCTCTTGTAGTATTTGAAGAGCCTCCTGAAGGCATCTTCACCTTGCTCCAGGAGAGCGGCCGCCATCGGCTACTGTCCTGCAACAACAACTGAACTCGTCACATTTATTCACCACTTCGATTTTTAAACTCACACCCCATCCCTATCTTGAAATCGAATTATATTCAATATGCAGCTGATTTCAGAAACTTTAATCCTTTAATTTTTTTCTCTCAATACCAAGGTGGGGAGGTCGAAGGTCAGCGCGAGGCACCAGGCGGCCGTTACAAGATGGCGGCTCCTTCGCGAAAGAGCTTCGAGGTTTTCGTGTCGCGGATCCCCTGGTCCTTGGCTAGCAGTAAGTGATACTGTTTTCATCCTGTGTCATGCGTGTTAGTCGCGGCTGCAAGGGGAAGTATTTTAATGGGGGTAGATTTGAAGCAGCGGTTATGATGGTTTTCCAAGAACCACATCTGAAGGAGGGTCGCTGGACTCGAAAAGTTAATACTCTCCCGGCGCAGAAACCTCCAAACCTCACTGAGTTTCCCCAGCGATTTCTGTTTTTGTTTTAGATATCTACCATCCGCGGTTCTTTGTTTTATTGTGGTGGTCTCCAAGCTGGGCTGGTTCAAAGGATCATTAGAATTGAGGGGCAGGAGGAGTTGGGCCTCTGTACCATTGCATAAGATCGTGTTTGATCTGATTGTGATTTGAATTCTACTTTCTTGCCCGACTGTTTTTCGCCCAAAGAACCCCTTACCTCTCTTGATGATTGAACAACTGGCTATTTCAGCTTTCGGTAATTTCAGTGAGCAAATCTTCATCATTATCTGTGGAAGAGTTCTAAACGCCAGTGACCTTCTGAAAGATGAAATTACTCTTCAACCCGGACTTAATGGAGAACCCTTGTTCTGAGGAAGGGTCAGTCGACCCGAAACGCTAACTCTGATTTCTGTCCGCAGATGCTGCCAGACTTGCTGAGCTTTCCCAGCAATTTCTATTTTTGTTCCTTATTTTGAAACATGCTGTCTAAGTTCTAGATTTCCCCCACAAAGGGAAACATCCTCTCAGTGCCAACTCTTTAAAGGCCTATCTGAATCTCTTAAGTTCTGATAAGAAACATTGATTAATTGCACATTTCTCATTTACATGTCAGTATTCTGTCCTTTAGCTGAATGGTTCTGGTGTCTGAGTTCATTTTAGCACTGATTATCTGTTGTAACATTGCTATAGCGGAAGCTTGCTGTAGACACATTGGTTTCAGATTTCCTACTTCAATTTCCAATTGAATTTACTTTTCAAAGACTAATTTGGCTGTAAACACTTTTGGGATTTGGATGATAATTTAAGAGGCACCAGTAGCAAGTTTGCAGATGACACAAATTGGTGGTATCGTGGAGAGTGAAGAAGATTATCTAAGATTACAGAGAAATCTTGATGAATTGGGCCAATGGGCTGAGGAGGGCCAATGGATTTTAATTTGGATAAATTTGAGGTATTGTGTTTTGGTAAGATGAACAAGGGCAAGACTTGTAGGGCCCTAAGTCGTGTTCTCAAGCAGAGAGACCTAGGGGTTCAGGTACATAGTTCTTCGCAAGTTGCGTCATACGTAGGCAGGGTGGTTAAGAAGATATTTAGCACACTTGCCTTCATTTCTCAGACCATTGAGTATGGGTGTGGGATGTCATGTTGAGGTTGTACAGGACATTGCTGAGGCAACAATTTGCATTACTGTGTACAGTTCTTGTGCTGGTATAGGAATGATATTATTAAATTGGAGTGAGTTCAGAAAGACTTACAAGGAGACTTACCTTCTGGAACTGGAAGTTTTGAGTTAGAGAGAGACAGGAGAGCTTGGGACTTTTTTTCATTGGAATGCAAGAGGTTAAGGGTGACCTTTTTGTAGAAGTTCATAAAATCATGAGGGGATTAGATGAGGTGAATAGCAGTGGTTTTTTTTCCCTAAGGTTGGGGAGTTCAAAACTAGAAGGCATATTTTTAAGGTGAGACAAAGATTTAAAAGGGACCTGAGGGGTAAATCTACCTGAAGGTTTTCAATGTCCCAAAATTGAATGCCCTCAAAGTTGGAATACTTTGATTTTTAATCTTTGAATACTAGTGGATGTAGAATGCAGTTGGCAAGTGGCATTGAGGCAGAAGATCAACCATGATTATACTGAACGGCAGTTTCAAGGATCTTGCTATCCACTCATTCCATTTACTGCCATGAAGAAAGGCCACTGGACCTGAAATGTTAACTCTGATTTCTCTCCAGCAGCATGGTGTCTCAGTGGTTAGCACTGCTGCCTCACAGCGCCAGGGACATCGGTTTCATTCCATCCTTGGACACTGTCTGTGTGGAGTTTGCACATTCTCCCCATGTCTGTGTGGGTTTCCTTCAGGTGCTTCGGTTTCCTACCACAGTCCAAAAATGTGCAGGTTAAGTGGATTGGCGTTGCTAAATTGCCCATAGTGTCCAGGGATATGCAAGCTAGGTGGTTTAGCCCTGGGAACTGCAGGGTTACAAGGAGAGGGTAGGGGGATGGGTCTAGATGGGATGCTTTTTGGAAGGTCACTGTGGACTTGTTGGGCCAAATGGCCTGTTTCCACACTGTAGGGATTCTGATTCTATGATGCTGCCGCCAGACCTGCTGAGCTTTTCTGTTTTTGTCTCCTAGTTACTGTATTCTTCTTAAAATTTGATTTCTAGAATATCCATTAAATGTTTAGAAAATTTTAGGATTAAGTGTGCCCCTCTGTATTTTTGCAGAAGAAATCAAAGAATATTTTGGGCAGTTCGGACAAGTCAAGAAATGTCTCCTTCCATTTGTGAGTATTTATTTGGCTGGATTAGCATTTTGGTCTGTTCAAATGAATACATGTTGAAGATTTTTTTGCATTCCATGGACTAGATTTTTCAGTTTCTGAAGTCAATAATGTATAATCATCAAATTCTCCATGCACTGTTGAGACACTTCATATTTGACAGAGTCCTGGATGAGAAGAATTTGGTCAGTCATGTTCCATAGAGCATTGCTTTTTATTTTCTGTATCTTACTTATAAAAATGATTCCTTTTTACATTAAAGGTTCTTTAGAAAAGCTAAGATAGAAACATAGGTGCAGGAAGAGGCCATTTGGCCCTTCGAGCCTGCTCTGCCGTTCATCACAATCACGGCTGGTTGTCCAACTCAATAGCCTAATCCTGCTTTCTCCCCAAAACCTTTGATCCTATTTGCCCCAAGTGCTATATCTAGCCACCTCTTGAATACATTCACTGTTTTGTCATCAACTACTTCCTGTGGTAATGAATTCCATAGGCTCACCACTCTTTGGGTGAAGAAATGTCTCCTCATCTCCGTCCTAAATGGTCTACCCCGAATCCTCGCAATGTGAACCCCTGGTTCTGGAGACAAATGAGCAGATGTAGTTTAATGTGGAAAATGTGATTTTGTTTTTTGAAAAATATAGAAGGTAATGCATCTTCAGTTGGGAAACTTTGGACATAGTATTAGTGTTTTTAGGATGGAGCTGCAAGAGTCATAACAGTGGATGTGCAAACAAACATGGCCATCAAGTTTTTTAAATAAAAAAAAGCATCGCTGGTTTTGTCGTTTAAGGGCATAGAATACAAAGGCGGAGCTGTAATATTAAACCTGTAAGTTGGGAGTAATGTGTACAGTTTTGGACATGGAATCAGATATGCAGGAAACAGTACTAAGTTGCTTTTTGAAGGAATGTCTATAATAGGGTTTGCCAAAGGTTGGGACGAGGGTCAGTGCTGTTCTCAATGTACATTAATAATCTTGGACATAAATGTACAAGGTGCAGTGTCATCGCTAATTTTGGAAAAAGTACCATACTGTGAAGAATGCAGTCATAAACGTCCAGGGCGTTGTCAGGCTGGTTGAAAGGTCTGTCATATTGCAAATGAAACTTAATGCAGAAAAGCGTGAAGTGATATGTTTTTGTAGGAGAACTGAGAAGAATGAACATAACCCTTCTGAAGAAGGGTCTGGGCTCGAAATGTCAGCTTTCCTGCTCCTCTGAATCTGCTTGGTCTGCTGTGTTCATCCAGCTCTGCACCTTGTTGTCTCATAACCACAACGGGTGTGATTTTTAATTGGGAGGTACAAGAACAGAGAAACCTGGGGATTTGTAAGCAGAGATAGTTGAAGGTGACAGGTTAGGTAGAGAAAGTCGTTTAAGAAAGCTTGCAAGATCCTGGATTTTCTAAATAGAGATATACAGCATGAAAACAATCAAGGTATGGAATAATCTTTTAATAAAACACTAATTTGGTCTCATGGAGTTTTGTGACCAATTCTGGGCATCTACTTTAGGAAGGATGCAGAAAAGATTTTAGAAGCGTGGTTTTCAGGATGAGAGGTTTCTGTTGCATGGATAGACTGGAGAAGCTGGCCATGTTTTTCATTGAGCAAGTTGAGAGGAGATTTGTTAGAGATGCCAAAGTCATGAGAGGTTTATACAGAGATTGGGGAGAAAAGGAACAAAGGAACTCAAATTTAAGGTACTTTGCAAAAGAACTAGTAGCAACACGGATTTCTAAAAATGGAGCAAGTGGTTATGACCCAAAAGTTTGGAAACAGATTTGTTTGTGATTTTCATGAGGCTTGGCATCTGAAGAGAGAATTAGCAGGGTTTGAGAGTTTAACCGGCTGATACGTACAGGAAAGGTCAATAGCCTTGTACACGACATTCTGATTCCAAAACTTGAAATGATCTCAAGGGAATTATGGATAAAGCCACTGGAAAGTACTGGGGGTGAAACTTAGAATCACAAAGAGACAATTATGAAATTTGGGACTTTTTATTCACTGACTGTGAGAATGTTGAACAATGATTTTTTGATCAGTGTTCTAAGCTATGCAGGGTTATAATGACATTTTCATAACAGCATTAGGAACAGACTATTCAGCCTATTCCATCATTCAATACAATCCTGTCTGATCTGCTTAGCTCCACTCTCGTCTATTTTTCAATCCTCCATTTTCCAAAATGGCCACAGGTCAAGCACAAATTTAAGATAATGGTTGAGTTAGAAAACAAAATTTGGATTATATTTTATGGTGGAGCATGTCACTATAATGATGTTCGTTATATATAAAGGGAGAAATATATGATTGTGTATGACAATGGATGTCATTTAGAGTAAGACACTGATGCAGTTGTGATGTGCTGTATGTTCCTGTACTCCATGATTCTAGCCATGAAATAGAGCTGGTGTTTATAGTATTGGTCTAGTGATCTGGACACTGAATTCACAGGGACAAATTTGGATCCCTTTATTGGATTTTACATGCTATTAGATGTGAAATTTAAAGCATGACCATGAAACTATTGTATTGTCATAAGAACCCATCCTGTTAAGAAATGTCTTTTTTCGAGAAGGAAATCTGCCATCTTTGAGGTCTGACTGATATGTGACTCTTCACTCCCCAACGCATGGCATTGTGGTTGATTTCTTAATTGCCCCTTGAAAGAGTATCCTATGTTGTGAATAAATTTAAAATTACACTAGCTATCATGAGGCTTATTAATGATCACATTACTGTGTATGTGGGAGGTGGTTAGGTTAAAAGTAGGAGCAAGGGGATTATGCTCAAGAATTTGAGTTAGTTGGGAGATAAAAATTGTGAATGAGAATTTGAAATGAAAGTCTCGATGAAAAGTTATGATACCAGTTGCTCATCCTCCTTCTCGTATCAGTGTAATTAAACTTGAGACAGAGACATAAAGGATTTAGCAGATGAACTGAGATGAAAACAAGGGATTGAGTGGGCAGAAACTGAATTTATGGGTTAAATGGTATCAAACCTGCAAACAGCCTTTTATCCTGAGTTAGGAGATAGCAAAATCATTAGAGGCTATGGTGAGCAGTATGGTTTGTGTGGAGGGGGTTGAAGGTGATAAGTTGGCTTTTTGAGTTGTTGTCATGTAAGACATCTAGTGATACTTCACCAGACAAAATAAAACTGGCTATTAGATGTGAATATAGGAAAATTTCAGATTGAATGGTTAGGACAGGGTTATTATATTGGAAACAAATGAACTCTACCTTACATGTATGTTAATAAATGTTCTTGATTTGTAATGTTCAGCACTATGGAACTTTATTGCAGGACAAAGAAACTGGATTTCACAAAGGATTCTGTTGGGTTGGCTTCAATACAGAAGAAGGACTTCAGAATGCACTGCAGAAAGAACCACACCTCATTGAAGGGGCAAAGGTAGTTTCAAAACACTATTTATTTTTACTCTTAGAACAGTACAGCACCGTACAGGCCCTTCGGCCCACTATGTTGTGCCGAACTTTTAGCCGAAACCTAAGGTCAATCTAACCTCCACCCCTACCTTAAACTATCATCCATATGCCTATCTAATAGCCGCTTAAATGCCCCTAATGAGGCCGACTCCACTACCCTCTCCGGCAATGCATTCCACGCCCCTACCACTCTGAGTAAAGAACTTACCTCTGACGTCTCCCCGATATCTACCTCCTTTCACTTTAAAACTATGCCCCCTCGTAAAAGCTACCTCCACCCTAGGAAAAAGTCTCTGGCTGTCTACTCTATCTATATCTCTGATCATTTTGTACACCTGTATCAAGTCACCTCTCATCCTTTGTCGTTCTAAAGAGAAAAGCCCTAGCTCTCTCAACCATTCGCGTTAGACCTTCCCTCCATTCCAGGCAACATCCTGGTAAATCTCCTCTGCACCTTTTCCAACGCTTCCACATCTTTCCTGTAACGAGGTGACCAGAACTGGACGAACCAGGCTTTTGTACAGCTGGAGCATAACTTCACGGCTCTTGAACTCAATCCCCCTATTAATGAAAGCTAACACACCATACGCCTTCTTAACAACTCTATCCACCTGGGTGGCAGCTTTCAGGGAACTGTGAACATGAACCCCACGATCCCTCTGCTCCTCCACACCGCCAAGAATCTTTGTTAACCCTGTATTTTGCTTTCAAATTTGCCCTTCCAAAATGAATCACCTCACACTTTTCAGGGTTAAATTCCATCTGCCACTTCTCAGCCCAGCTCTGCATTCTATGTCTCTTTGTAACCTAGAACAGCCCTCCGCACTGTCCACAACGTGACCCACCTTCGTATCGTACACGAACTTGCTAATCCACCCTTCCACTCCTTCATCCAAATCATTTACAAAAATCACAAATAGAAGAGGACCCAGAACAGATCCTTGTGGTACACCACTTGTAACCGAGCACCATGTTGAATATTTTCCGTCCACTACCACCCTTTGTCTTCTAAGGGTCAGCCAATTCTGAATCCAATCTGCCACATTTCCCCCTATCCCATGCCTCCTTACCTTCTGCAAGAGCCTACCATGGGGAACCTTATCAAATGCTTTATTTAAATCCACGTATACCACATCCACTGCTCTACCTTCATCCACATGTTTGGTCACCTCTTCAAAGAATTCAGTAAGGTTTGTAAGGTATGACCTACCCCTCTCAAATCCATGCTGACTATCACAAATCAAACTGTGCCTTTCCAAGTGATCTTATAAAAGTAACTTTTCCATAATCAAGATATTTATATAGATTCTTTTTAAAAGAGCTACTTAAACATTTGCCAGAGAGCCTGAAGATGACACTGGGTTTGTGTCAGGTGTAAACTTTGTTGGTTTACCGTATGAGAAACCACAATGTTTAGTGTGAAAATTAACAAGCTTCAAAAAGGAATGCAGTATAAGACCTGAGGTTGTGAAGAATTAGAAAGCTTTACTGTGATTAACTGCTATGCATGTGCTCAGTCTTAACTTCTATCGTCACTGATAGCAAAACAAAAAATCAAATGCACAAGAAAGACTTGCTTTATTTTAAAAGTAAACAGAAACGTTACCAAACAGTGGCACCAGCCAGTAACCTATGCTACAAAGGCCAATTTCATCCAACAGTTGAGTGCTGTCTGCTGTCTAACCACCTAGTTAGCATTCGGTGGACTGTGCAGATGAGGTGACTTTGTCAACTAACTTGGCTACATTTAGTTGAGTTTTAAAGCTACAACTTACAGCAAAACATTCCATGCAGATAATGTTGGTATTGTATTAAAGCAGAAATTGAAATTAGATAACTCATTAAAAATTCATTCTCTTCACAGCTTCAAGTTCAGAGAAACAGAAAATTGCCTCAAGGGCGCAGACAAAATAAGGTCACTGAATCAGCAAGTTGACAGTGCAAGTTTGAGGTGTTTGTCAGAATTTAAATTAAAGATGGTGACTTAAAAGATTTCTGCGACTTACGTTTTTTGTTTATAAATCTTGCTTTGCAGACCTTCGGTGTTTACTCTAGCTTTTCAATTACAAAAAAAGTGGCCAAACCGAATTTTACTTTACAGAGACATCTGTCAAAACTCCCAGTGGGGAACTCTATCATGATATTCCATTATGTTGGTTCAGAAACAAATATCAAGGATATTGGTTTGAATTAAGCAGCAACAGGCTGCACTTCAGAGTCCATCTATTCCTTTCTTCGCTTCTTTCCCTCGTGTTCATATTCTTTAGAGCGACCACTTTCAGGTCTCTTTGAACCACCACCGTGTTGTTTGGCTTCCTCCAAGAACTTATCCAGACCAAAGGGATCTTCTTCATCTTTCTCAAACTGAACAGGGCCTTCACGACGCTGCCTGCGGTCTGTGCCAGAGAATTCACGGTCTGGAACAAACCTAAAAGAAGAACAACAACTGTTTACAATTATATAAAACAGCAAATACTGCCACTTCTGTTGGGAAGCTGAGAAATGAAAGAATTAAATTGATGAATTTAACTGACAGACTTATCATTCAGTCATGACTTTTTTTTTAAAAGCATTAACTAAAGAATTTTCAACCATTACTTGAGTTCACCATATGTCTTAATATTATCTTTTGACATGATTGCAGAAAAATCAACTAAAAACCGTGCTGCCTCTTTCCTCTGTCTTATTTGAAAGCCCCAACTCTGAAGGGGTGAAGATTAGCCAATATTAAAAAATGTAAAATCATTCCTAAGAACAGAACTGATATCTGAAGGTTAGAAACAGACGTTGACTTCTATAAGTATCACGTTGAAATAGTCAGCCCATTGCTTGAAATGTTGCTCTGGAACCAGACTGCAGCAGGTGAGATTAAAACACATCGTATCAACTTTAGTTCCATTTAAGATCAAACACATATCCCTGTACTAAATTGTTAAGAAAACAAACTCACCGACTGTTTTTCATAAGTGTGTCCAAATCATCACCATAAGTGTCTTTATCAGCATTCTTGTTTGGTCTGTACACGTTTTGAGCCATTTCCTTGCCAGTTCTCCAGGGCTGATCATAAACATTGTAAAGCTCGTCTTCTCCTCCTGCAAAACCACTGTCCATCCCCTGGCAACATAAAACAAGACTTGATCCAAAAGAAATTTTTCAAGTAGTGGACCATAGAATCCCTACAGTATGGAAACAGGCCCTTTGGCCCCATGAGTCTGCACTGAAAGCTTGGTGAAAATGTGCAGATCTGGTTCTGTATCAAACACCACCCCTTAATCAGCTTTAATGCCATAACTGACTCAGAACAATAGCACCCCCGCCATCGTGCTTCCATAACCCACTCAAAATTATGGAAAGATTATAATATTAATTAGCCCTTAGCAACTGTCTCTCAGGACCTGAAGAGGATGTACCTTATCTAGATACATATTAAATAGGGTTGCTACCCCCTTATTACTATCAAAACAGAACTTCCATGAAACTGTGAATGAATATGTAAGAACTATCAAAACTGGGAACAGTAAATTAAATCTCATGACCCAGCTGCAGGAGATCAGTTTAATATCCTTTATCCTTTTTATTTAGTACATATATAATTTCTCACTTACTTAGATCATAGGTCGAGTATTTTTTACTAACATTACTAATTTTAAAGACAAAAAGATCAACGCCTCTTAATTATGCAAACTCGGACCGAAAAGACATTCTAATCCCATCAGGAGTAACAACCAGCATTTAGCAAGTGCTTAACCCATCTCCTGCTTCCCCAGGACAGATGTGTGGACAACAGATACAACAATGTGACACCATAATACTTAAATTTTAATGTATATTAGAACTGTGTAAAACTGTACATCAGATTCCATCGCTGCCTTGAACTGTGCTACTGTCGATGCTCAATAAAAAGGCTATTTTTGCCACTCATCAATCTCTATCATTATTGAAACACAACCCCACCCCAACCCCCACACACCGTTTCCCACTTGCAGTGTTGCCAGTGTTCCTTGATGTTGAAGGCAAAAACATTCACTTAACCTCTAGAGTTCAGCTTTTTTTTGTCCATATTTGAAACAAGGCTGTATGGCATCAGCAGCTGACTGGCACCCTGTTTGGATTGCACCAGGACCAGCGAGCAGGTTATTGCTAAGCAAATGCTAGTTGAAAGCATTGTTGATGACAGTTTCCATCACTTTGGTGATGATTGACAGTGGGCTAACAGGATGGTTATTTGGTCAGGTTGATGCAAGTGGTGATACAGCTTGGCTAGGGACATGAGACTTGTGCTCCAGAACCAGTTCAGAACTATTGCTAGATATTGTCAAGGCCCATAGGCTTTGTAGTATCCAGTACCTTCATCAGTTTTTTGAGATTACACTAAGTGAATCAAATTGGCTGAAGACTAGCATCTGTGATGCTGGGGACCTCCAGAGGAGACCAGATAAATCACTTGATGGACACTCTGGCTGGGATTTTGTTACAAATGTTTCAGCCTCATTTTCTTCTTGCATTGTTGTGCTAAATTCCCCCATCATTTAAGGATGAAATTATTTGTGGAGCCTCCTCCATCAGTGAAATGTTTAATTGTCCACCACCAATCATGACATGTGAAAGGACTGCAAAACTTAGATTGTATATGATGGCTTAGCTCTATCACTGCTACTTTTGCTATTTGGCATAAAAGTAGTTCCATATTGTAGCTTCACCAGTTTGACACTTCAGTTTTAGGTATGTGCAGTAATGCTCCTCTTGCACTCTTCAAAAAGGTTTCAAGCAGGAAAAAAAAAAATCAATTTTTAGAGCATTACAAATTTTGGCCCATTGCTGGGGTCAAGGGTGACAAATTGTGTACGATTCACAGGGGAAGAGGAGTAAGAAATGTGGGAGTCCAGCTGGGAAGTGTTCGAGTAAAGTTAGAGATAATAAGTGCATATCTTCTCTGTTGGCATAGTGTTAAAATGAAGAGAAACTTGGCCAGCTAGGCAAACCAATAAAAGCACCAGGTAATTTCCCAAACAATCCCATGTCAAGGAATGAGATAATTGTATAAATCACTAACTGATGATATTCATTTGTAACAACCGCTTTAGTTTACCTTGTTCTGGTTAAAGAGTCTTTGGTCATACTGTATTTCAGTTGATGCACGTGGATTTGGTACTCCCAAGGCAATTAGCTCACTGATGTCTCGGTCCTGATCCCTTTGCAGCTTTGACCTGATATTTAAATAAGTAGAATTACTTATACAGCAGATTTAGTGCATAAATTGATGTTGCAGGTTAGAGGATGTTAAATAGCTTTATTCTCCACAATTACAAATTTCTGAAATACGCTAAACCTCACTCAACTACAACGTTATATTGAACTTGTCTCAAATAATACCAGTTGGCTTGAGAGGTAAACTTACATGGTTTCTAATAGTTTTTTCTAATGTTAGCCTGAGCTCAGTGGTAACACTGTCTACTCAAAGCTAGGGTGTCGTGAATTCAAGGACCATTCCAGAGACTTAAGCACAAAAATCCATGCTGATATTTCAAAGTAGTATTACCAGCACAGAAATTTTTGTAAGAGGAGTGGTGTCTGTCATATATGCTGAACAGATAGGATTCTACATTAGTATTTAAGACAAGGGATTTTCTGCTGCATTGTCAAATAACCATCTGTCAAAGATGAGCTTCAAAACAATAACTTGTTATTTTTCTCAATGTGGGGCTTTGCTGCGTTCAAGATGAAAACTATATTTCACTATAAGCCTGCAAAATTGCAGCGACTGCACTTCAGAAGTAATTCCCCGCCTGTAAACCCAGAGGATGTGAATGATACCGTATAATTGCAAGTTTTTTCTAGGGGAAAAAAAATGACAGGCTCTAAGCCTAAGGTTTTGAGGTGAGAAAAATCATCATGTTACTTTGTACAACATGCACTGATCCAATGCTCAAATAAGTGATGTTTCTCAAAGATGCAGAGGTGTTACGTAGTAGTTCTTATGTACCTCTTATCTGGGGCTGCTCGGGCAAGATTGCGATCGTGCTGTCGTTCTTTTCGTCTTTCATGTCGAATTTCATCTCGTTCTCTTGTTTCATTTTCCTCTTTCGGAAAAAACATACTAATTATACCACTTTTAAACAAAAATCATCAGTTTATTTTTAAAAGAAAGGAGGCCACCCCTTCTGGTCTTATACTACTGACTTGAACTGAATAGAAAGGCAAACATTTTGGATGTATTCTCCTTCACAGGAATGCAAATTAATGGTTAAGAAAGTCTTCGAATTAAAGATAAAACGGACCAATTAAAATGGCTCAGATTTGTTGCATTATTCTGTATGTGATGTCCTTAAGAACATATGTAGCATGTTAAATGGCTAACACCCAACAGAGGTTAGAACCTTTGAGGCCAAGGCTTTAAAAGGTCATAATAAACTGATTGCATTGTGTCTGCACATCCTGGTTTGAGTAGCAGTAGCTTGGGACAATAGATTGCCCAAGTGTTCTCTTCCACGAGGGTGGTACTAAAAAACATGAAATTGAGCTGATTTTATTTTTAAAGTTGCATTCACTTTTTCTTACAAAGTCATAAGCTCATTTAAAGATTTGAACCATAAAAGAAACATAGATCATCAATACAGAATATGCAGTTGCCAACAAATTTGCAGAAAGCAGATTTAATAAGCTGCTGCAACATCAGGGCACTTTTTGTCCTCAAACGTTTACTTGACAGTCTTTGACACAATTCTCTGACCTTAAAAGAAATTATGTTTATGAGCCAGAGGTACAATAAGATGGATACAATGCAAATGCAGGGCTTTCTTTACTGATATCTCATACCTTTTTCTATATGAGTCTTGATACCAGCTCTCCTCTCCCTGGCAATCTGAGCCAATTCTCGGAGCTTCTCTTCCTTCTTCTCCTTCTCCTTTTGAGCCATTTTCCTTTCGACTTGTGCTCGCATCTCTACAGCTTCACGAGCCTGTGTGCAGAACGTAGATCAGTTAGGGAGTAGAATTGCTTCTAATGACTTTAATAGGGTTAAACATAGAGATCACTCAATAAACTAGCTAACATTTCACAACATTTCAGAAGTTCAAAAAAATTACCTTTCTGTCTGCAATGTAAAGAGCCTCTGCAAGCTTAGCAAAGTTCTCATTGATGTGAACTGTTTGAAGTCCTCGGCCATCAGCAGCCAGACGTTTGTCCAAAGGAATTGTATAACCCTGGAACATATAACAAAGTGCACAATGCAGAGTTGTAAAAAATGTGCATCCAGTACCTCAATCAGGGAACTAAGGCAACACACAATTTAAAAAAAGGGAATGCAGATACTAATGGTCTGGTCTGCTAACTTAGTTCGGGAGTCTCAATTTTCATCTTTCACATGATATATTAATGAGACCTTTCAAGAACGGAGGCTTTCGATAAGGAAACGTAGAGTTTCATTTGGAAGTCTCCATGCCAGCTAATTGCCAATGTAAACTTCATCAAGAGTTAATTCTTTTGGACCATAGGAATGAAAATAGTCCTACCAATTCGGGAACTGACTGCTGTCCCAATCCAACACACAAAGTTTTACACAGAAATGCAATACTGAGAAAGCCAACAAAATACTGAATACAAATATTGCACCTAAAGTTTATTGGAAGAGCTCTTCACTGAACGATAAAGCTTGTCCAAATATTAACGTAGGTGAATAAATATTTTTTGTTTAATTATGGATCAACAATTGAAGCCCTGGTTCAAGATTTCAATTAAGTGCTTCAATTAAGTTCAACTTCCTTGTTATGAACTGGACAGTCACATTTCAGCAGATTCAGGAACATTTGTACAATCCTATTTGAATGTAATGACAATACCCCATGGGCATAATCTGTTTGGCAATACATCAGATTTTCATAGTTTCTATCAGATTGCCAGTGCTTTCTAACACACTTCCTGTAAGGAGAGCTGCTGAGCTCATTCTGACAGGCCTTCCAAATACGTACCTCAAGCACGTGTTTTGTGAGATCAACTTAAACCAATGGCAGTGATTGGTATGGTAAGTGGCAAAAGTAGATTTGGATTAGTTCAGCACAAGTTTGATGATAACGGAGACTGAGAGGAGGCTCTGACCTTTACTAAATCCCACATCCCCCTTTTCCTTCCTTGAGGTGGTTAGCACTTCTTGGTCCAAGTTACTACTCCTCACTTTTCAAATTGCATCCCTACCTTTTGCGCTAAAAGTTTAACTTTCGCCAGGGTACTCAAGCTAAACATATATCACCAGTTCGGTTTTTAGGATGTCAATGGATTAAATTTTATCCAAATCAGCCAGTGGTACTAGGATCTCTGAAAATGCAAGTACCAACTTTCTTTCCTCAGAACATACTCAAAGATGCATCTTATATCAAAGCTTTTAATTGTCTGACTTTCGATTAAACATTTTATTATTTATAGCATTCTTCTGCACTGAATTGAACGAGGTGGATTTTATTTTAGGGGATGATGCTGGTTTAGGGGTTAATAATGGCTAATAATCCTAAGACAAATATGGAAATATGGGTTCAAATATCACCACAGCTGCTATAGTTAAAAATTCAATCAATAGATCTGGAATAGAAAGCAGATTTCAGTAACCCCATCATTAAACTACCATCTGGTTCACCAAAGTCCTTTAGGGAAGGAAATCTGCTGTCCTTGCCTGGTCTGGTCAACATGCAACTCCAGACCCACAAGAAGCCTGTTGTCTCTTAAATGTTCTCCGAAATGGTTCAGCAAGCCACTCAGTTCAAAGGCAATTATAGATGAATAACAAATACTGCAAATACTGACCTTGCCCGTGATGTTGACATCTCATGAAACATGAAAGAACAAAATTACCAACCCAGTAATGCTGTCTGAATTATTTCACATTTTTTCATTGGGTTTATTGGCACAGTTGAAGTGAATATTTTATTATAATTAAGTTTACTCCAGATATAAATACTTTTAAGTGATTATAAAAAAGTCACTTTTTTTTAACCTTTGCGTTCTTCCAGTTTGATATGCATGGAGGAATCTTCCACTCTTGCTGTTCTTTCACAGTCATCTAAAACAAAGAGATCAAAATGCTGTATTAAATTCAAACAAGGAACTTCACAGCACAACTGACTTGATAAAAATAAATACATTATTATGGCAGCTTTCTTAAGGTTTAATCATTTAGGAAGGACAAACCAACATCCTCAAATGCAAATCACAAAGTGTTTGATGTGAATTTTTTTAATTTGCAACCACTTGAAAATTGTTAGGCAGGTAAATGAGTAACCAGCAAGGTCTTAGAAACAGTAAACTAAAGACCCAGTTAAAATGGTCAGGGTGAGGGAATGTAGGACCTCAGAAAAGTGCCACCCGTTTAATTATTAACACGCATTCCTTTGCTCTATGTTGCCAGGGAGATGCCACTTTGGCTTCATCTAAGAAATCACTGTACAGGAATGTCAGCCTGACGCATGCTTAAGAGCAGACTCAGTATTTTGGTGTTAGGGTGACAAAGAGCCAGAGTTTACAGCACTGCAGATGGTCATTTGATCCATTTAATCCTCTTTGCCCATGTCTTTTAGTTACTTTATTTTTATCTACTTGCCTGTTAAAGGTTATTATTGACAGTCTGTTCTAATGATAGCTTTGTGTTTTAAAAATAATAAATTCCAGCCCATGTCTTTGGTCTTTTGATGGGTCTTACAATGATCCAGTTTAGTTGTTAGCCCACCAATTGTTATCCAGCAACTCTTGCTGCTACCATGCCCGTGAATGCAAGCCAACTGTAATAATCAAAATAGGTTGCTGTTACACCTTAGAAAACAAGTGGACACGTGGAATTCACTGGGATCACTATTTTCACGATTTGGAAGAAGACAGATTGACAGAAAAATAAGTTAAAAAAATGGATTATGCACAGCCAGGCAAATGTCTGGGGGATTCAAAAATCATTTTTAATGTAGCGAGCGATTGGCATCTAGAATGTACTAACTGAGCACGTGGAGAAAGGGTCAAACATATTATTTGAAAGGAGATTAGACTGTTCTGAAAAGGAATGATGAATGCTACTAAGTGAACTATACATTTGAAGAGTCAATGCAAACACGATGGCTGAACAGTCCTCCTTCTGGCTACAACATTCCTATGACTATGAGCATTTGATCCTCAATACCTCTTACAATGCACAGCAACATTCATATCTTTTATGCATGTTGGATTCTCCCAGTGATGATATTTTTAATCCAGCAGCAGATTGCCCAAGAAAATCAAACATATTTTAACAGAAAAGTTGTGATTTGTTTTGCTATAAGTAGTTTGTTTCACCATTGAAATTTGCTAGGCTTTTTGGGCTGTTAGCAATAATTACTGTTCTGAACCATCGCTCCACATGACTTAGACTTTCTGGCAAGTTTCACCTTTCTGGCAAAAGATTACACAGCAACTTTTAATTCATCTGCAGTAATCAAGTTTGAATGGCACCAATGTCATTATTCTGATGTGAGGTTTATTTGATTACTCTCAGAGCTGTGGAGCCATCCAAATTTACCGATCAATCAGGTTTCGATAAAGACATCATAGTACAGCTGGACCGAAGATTTCTGCTGTTGTGTTATTAAACTGCAGTAAAGTCCCAATTAAATCCTGGCAAGCACTATTATTTTGCACTAGTTAATTGTCGCCTTACCTTTCTGCTCGGTGAGTGCATGACAGGTGCAGGTGGTGATGGAGGACCCCGAGGAATCTTCTTGTTAATCCTAAATACAAATATGACAGAACAGGACTGGTCAGAGCAAACATGCCAAGTAGCAGCAGACGAATCAGAAATACATGCAGGTTTCCGATACAGATGCCAGTCTCAGCGGTGAAAGGCAGTGCATAATAATTAGTGGTTATGAAACTGCCAAAGAAGCAAATTGTCCAATGTCATGCCTGATCACATGGAAATGTCATGCTGGGACCCTTGGAAGTCAGCATAGAGTTCATATAATTCTGAGTTTTACATTTGCTGTTAGGTGACAGCAATTCCATCGTGAATAATCAAAAAAACTGCACCATCAAAAAGTCTCCTCTATTTACTTACTTGAATCGAGGTGGTTCCATTGGGTCCTTTTGCATTTCCACCATCCTGATAACTCTCTGTTTAGCCCCCGAGTTGAAAGCCACACCTTGTTGGGAAGGAGTGTATCTGAGCACAACAAAAGAAAGAAAAATGAAAAAGGTGTACAGTAAACACCGTCCTGCTCCTGTTCCATTACCCTTGATGTTGGCAATGATCTTCTTGCTGTTCTTATACTTCTTACTTGCACGCTGCCCTCCCATGAGATCAATTAGAAGCACAATGTAAGGTGTATACCCAGCTCTGTTTTACCACTATCTTTTTCTCCAGGCCTCACCGTCACCGATTGGTCATATTGCTTATCTGATTCCAGCAACAGATGAGTAGAGATCCTTCAACCAAATATTAAAGAAATTGAAGCCATTGTATTTGACTTTTTGTCACACACCCCATTCTCTAGTAAACAATACACTGGTAACTCCAAGTTTCAACTGGATCTCTCAAGTTGGGTGTCATATTTAACCTTGAGGAGCTCAAACCATTAATCTGTCCCAAGCACCAAGTTTACTCATTTACAACTTTGTAACCTCACCCAGCAGCCCTCATCTTATCCTCTGCCAAAATCCCCATTCATATCAGTTACCTTTGGATTTGGCTATTCTAATGTTCTCCGAGCCAGTATCTTCCAGCCTACATTAACTAAAGCTTATTCAAAATTTTGCTGCCTGTGGCGTTAACTCTGACCAACACCCGCTTCAGCCGGCATACTTATGCTCACTGACCTGGCCTCTTCTAATCTCTATAACTTCATAAACTCCCTATCCTCCTTCAAGCTTGACCAAAGAACATAAGAGACAGGAGGATAAGTAGACTATATGGTCCCCCAGTTTTGCATCCCTATTCAATACGATCATGGCAGATCTATTGTCTCAACTCCACTTTTACACCTGTGGCCCTTGACTCCCTGAGAAACCAACAATCTGTCTATCTCAGCCTTAAATATATTCAATGATGGATTATTCACAACGTTCCAGGGGTGGAAAATTGCAAGTATTCACAATATTTTGCATTAAAAACTTTTAATTACCTCAAGTTCCTTACTCTAATTAGCCTCTAGGTCACTCTGTTTCTGGTATATAATTTGTCGTCTGTTCTAAAGATGGACACAAAATACTTGTTCAACATCTCTGTTACTTCTTCAATCGCGATGATAATTTCTTCTGTCTCTGCCTCCAAGGAACAACTGTTTATTTTAGCTTTTCTTTTTTTCCCTTTGCACAAGCTCTTGTGATCCGTTTTCTATTTCTGCCTTGTTTACTCATATTCTATTTATACCCTTATCATCAACTTTTTGGTTGCCCTTTGCTGGTTTCCAAAACATTATAAGCCTTTTTTTTTATCTCAATACTTAACTCCCTTAGTTAGCCAAGGATAGATCTATCTTGTTGAGGTTTTGTTTTTTTTAAATGGAATGAAATCTGTTAAAATTTTGAATTGTTTCCTTAAATATTCCCCTTTATTTATATACTGCCATACTTTTTAGGCTATTTTTAGCCTACATAATTGGCTTTGGCTAAGATTATTGTTTGAGACTGGTGTATGTCACTTTCAAACTTAATGTAGAATTCAGTTATTTTGTGATCCATTTTCTTCCCCCCTCCGATGCCATTTAGAACGAAGCTACCTAATTTGTAAATTAGGACTTGACTATTTAGAATTGAAGCCAGGACATGGATATGAAAATCTGCAACTTGTTGCTCCAAAAAATACTGAGGATACCAAGTCACTTACAATTTTCAAGATCGAGACTGATAGTTTTTTGTTTGGTCTCAAGTGTCAAGGCATAGGGAACAAAGATGAAATTGAAGCAAAAATCAGCCAGGATCAGCCAATGACACCAGACTGAGAAAGGTGCCCCTTTTCTCATCATCATCCACTTGCTACCTCAGAAGAACGTGGACAGCTGATCTAATGTATTGGCTATGTCAATGTTTTTGAGTCAACGCAAGCATAGTGCACTAGAACAGTTCAGTATTTGAAGCATCAGTAGTTGCAGTCACCAATCTGACATTGCAGGAAGAATCGGCTGTGGGATGCACCCCTTCCTGTTAGAGCGGAAAACACTTCAGCTTCCAATCAATCACCTTCTGACTAACCTGCACTCATTACAACTATGGAATCAAGTATTGCATCCAAGTGCTGCAGAAGACAGATGCGCTAATTTCTTGGTCAGTGTGCTCACTCCCTACAGCCAACATAGATACCAATTGAGTAATTTTTCTCACCTGATGTACTGTGCAGGAGCGAGTTTCTCAGCTGCCCGAACAGGCATAGCTGCTGCAACTTTCTGTGAAACCTGTTTTTCAAGAGCTGAACGTGTCTTTTCGGTCAACTGCAATGAAAATAAAGACAATTCAGAAAATTAATATCCATTTCTGATCCTCCAGATTTCAAATGTTCAACAATCCAAACAATGCAGACAATTCTGCCTCCAATCTTCATTATCATTAATTAATTGGTTATTTTACACATAGCAGAGTCAGCTGTCAATCTATTTTTTAATCTTAAAACTTAGGTGCTAGAAACATGTCACAGCACATATGATACCACCCATTTTCAATGTGTAATCTTATTCATAACTAACAAATCTTTTTTCCAACTACACAGATTTGGCAGTTTTGTTTCAAACAGACAGCCCAGGCGCTATCTACGCTAGGACACAATTATCAGTAGTGCCGAGAAGTATTCACCCTGACATTAAACATCTCTGTACTCTCCAATTTCACCACCACAATTATTGGGAGATCTCATTCTAGCGGTCATTCATGTGAAGATCTTAACTATTAATATCAGTAGGATACAATCAGGAGTGGCAAAACAGTGCTTTTTCTTCTCGATATATCAGCAATATAGGCAATTGCAACAGCCTGATACTATGCCAAATGAACTTAACTAACCTAGCATTGATTGTGGGATGGGGTGGGGGTGCGCATCTTAGATTTTGAGGGACTTTTAAGGTTTTGGAGTGGATTTGTAGCTTGGGTTGTGGGTGTTGAGGTTGGTTGTCTCACCAAGATGGTTTGTTGATCCACAGATGTTTCGTTACCATGCTGGGTAACATCATCAGTGCAGCCTCTGATGAAGCATTGGTGTGTTTTCCTGCCTGGTTTTTAAACTCTGGAGTCCGTTGAGCTGGATTGCCTCACTTCCAGTTTTCCTTCATAGTGGAGTATATATAGAAGCCTAACACTCCACGAAGCAAGCCATTAATAAACACATAGAACTCGACCCCATATACACTCCATTACGAAGGAAAATCGGAAGTGAGGCAATCCAGCTGAATGGACTCCAGAGTTTAAAAACCAGGCAGGAAAACACACCGAAGCTTCATCGGAGGCGACACTGATGATGTTACCCAGCAAGGTAACTAAACATCTGCGGAACAATAAACCAGCTCGGCGAACCAACCAACCTCAACATTTTGAGGGACTAGCTGATTCAGCAGCATAGTGTCTATATGTTTAGCAACTGAGCCATCAGAATGATCAGAAATTAAAACAAAAAGAGAGTTAACTGTAAACTTTAACTCCCATATATTCTTTGTATCTCACTGGGTCAATTAGCCCAGACTCAACCACTGTACTATGTGTATGTGCAGAATTTCCATTTCATGTTAATATGAAAAATTAGATCATAAGCTTTGAAATATCCCAAAGTCTTTGATATTTTTTTAATCCAGTGATTTAATGCAGGTGAACAGGATATTACAGCTTAATATAAGCTCTTTCATAAAGGGGTGGGGTGGACAAGGTTCACTTCACAAATTGCAATATGTGGAACAAGGACAGGATTTGTCTCTGCATTGTACCTATTCTATCCTAGATCATTCCAATGTTATCAACGGGCAATAAATCACTTTATGAAACTTAATCCCTTCTTTCATTCTTAACTATTGGCAGACATAGGCAGACTCATATAGATTCCACTTCCTGACTTCATGTCTACATAACTCTTTAAAATCTTCCTCTACCCCATCATTGTGACAAACCTTCCATCATCTTTCCATCAGGTTCCTATCATTTCATATTTATTCCTGACAGTAATCATCTCATGCCAATACACATACCAACACAGTAATAAATATACATACCTCCTTTATACTTTCTTCGTCAGGTCTCTGCAACTCAGGATCATCTTCATTGATGATTTCTTTTGGAATCAAATCTGTAAACTTGCTGTAGATCACCTGGAAAGAGAAGAACTAAGTTGTTTTTGAAATATCACTGAAAGCTATTTGAGTTTATCTCAGAACCATACAGCAAATATTCTAATGAAAGGTGGAACCCATTACCCACTGCTTCACGGCTGTTGTATAATTTAAAGAAATGTTGCTTGGAACAGCGTAAAAAACTGAATGTTGGAGCATTTAATTCACATTAACACTAACTGCCCGGATGGTACTTCAAGCAACATTCTGCTGCTGGAAATGGAAGTTGGGGCAATTTAACAGGTCAGTGGATAAGTATTGGGCTCACAGCACGATACATGTTGTGGTACCTTGTCTTTTGACTGTCCTTGTCTAGCAATGGCATCAAATTTGATCTTTCCTTCCGCATCCACTTGAATAGCCAGTGCATTGGATGCCTTTTTCTTGCGACCCATTTCCAATGGGAATTGTGCCATGTGGACCTCTGGGAATGCACCACCATCGCCAAAATCCTGGAAAAAGAAAACAAACACCAAATCTTAATCATCAAACACTGGGGAACCCAAGTGACATCCAGGATGGTGCAGAGGCAAATTCACAACAACCATTTAAGTTTTCTGTAACATACTCAACTTTATTGTATTTATTTTGGAAAAGAAAAACACTTTTTAAAAGAAATGTAACCACACAGACATTTTGCCTAATAATTTAACTAGCACTAGCTCCCAAGTATTAATCACTGATTCTCACAATTGTACATTTGGCCAAAGTTCTCAAATTCTTCAAGGTAACAAACAGCTAATGATTTCCAAGTAGTTTTCTTTCTCGCAGTGACCCCAATGCAGTTTCCAAACAATGCAATTTCCAAACAATGCACTCCAATGTAATTGTACTGAGTGTTTCCACCACCCTCCAATAGCTTTCTTGGCAGGTCTATTTGGAAAATGGAAACATATTTCTCTGCACAAGATGTTCAAGGGCCCTTATAATTATTGGTACACTTCCCGTTAAACAATTAATTTCATGTGCAAATGTTTACAGAAATATAAAAGGCTAACCTGATTTGAGTACAGGAACAGCTGACCCCCTTCTTCTGATAAAGCTTTGGATATTATCTAATCAACCAATCCAGAGATGTCATTACACACATCTGGAGCAGGTGGGACTTGAACCCGGGCCTCCTTGCTCATAGGCGGGAATGCTACTACTGCATTACAAGAACCCTCTGATGGGGAATTGTAATAAACATAAAAAATGTTCTCAACCTGTTTACCGAGTTTCAAAAAAAAGAGAGGGAGTAATGAGAGATGGAAATCAGGAGCTCCCAAGGATCTGCTGCATTTGGAACAACATAAACTGGAGGTATCGGGTTATGTTGCCAAATGTACAGGGCCTTCAACTATAAACTGGAGCACTATGGTTTCGTCAGTCACACATCAAGCAGTGATTTCCCCAGGGTTGCACCCACAGTTTGAGATAGTGTTTATTCTTCTCAACATTGAGCACACAATCTGACCTGAAGAGCTTCAAGTTTCGTCTCTCAAACTCAAGGAGTAGCAGTGCAGTGCAGCTGAAGATGAGGTGACAGTACATTGCATGGAAACCTTCAATTATAATACACATTGACAAAAGCCAATCAAGTTGAACAACAGTCAAATAAAAGCAAAGTACTGCGGATTCTGGAGTTCCGAAACAAAAACAATGTTTTTGTTTCAGACCTCCAGAATATTTTTGGAGAAACTCAGCAAGTCTGGCATTATCTGTGAAGAAAGACTTTTTGCACCCAAAAACCCAGTTTCTGAATTAGTTATATTGGACTCAGAAGGTTAAATTCTTGTTTCTCTATTCACTGATGCTACTACACTTGCTGAGTTTCTCCAGTACTTCGCAGTTTTTATTTCGGAACAGAATCAAAAATGTTTTTTTTTAAGGTTCAGGTTTTAGCCAATAGAAATGTAGTGAAAGGGACAGCATTTCACCAAAACCTACTACAGCAATGATATAATGAAGGAAGATTCAGGTCCATAAGGTTGATATTACATAAAGAATTTCCATATTAAATTATGAATTCTTATTTTGTACTTTAATGCAATCTAATTATAAATAAGACATGCTGGGGCAAGGATTAAAAAAAAAACTGCAAGTATAGAAAACTTCTAAAAAATGCTAGAAACCTAAAATCTGTTAACATCTGTTCTGATAAAGTCAACATCAGAAATATCTTTCTTATTTGAACACTGAAAAACTTACAATGTATTTCTAGTATTTTATCTTATTATGTGCTGTCACACAATTGTGCATTATCTGCTCACCTCAATATAGGAACGGCCAATGTGTTCAAAAAAGCAATTAAACATTTGAAAGAAATAAAAATGTCCTAAGATCGATTTTGTAGCCCCCAGCCTGTGATAATCTTCAGCATTTGTGAATAAAATTGAACACCTGCAGTTCACTAGAAAATATTCTGCCTCTGTTATGCTGTACGGTTTTATGTTCTGTGTACTATGGTATTTGGCAGTGCTAAAGGTACAAACAAGCATCAAGAGTTATCTTGTTGCCATTAATTAGTGTTGTGACTAAATATTCAGTCAAATTATGACTCTTGTGATACTGAATAAATTGCAAGATTTGCTCAAGCCAAGACATTGCAGATGTTACCTCCAATGAGCGAGGAACCCATCCCTTTCTGTGTCCATATGGGGGAGGCTCTCTCCTCGATGCCACTAATGCTGTTTGTCTGACTCGTTGGGAGCGAGCTTTTTCCTCAGCTTCCAGCTGATCCTGGGACAGCTGGGTTGGTGCAGGCAAAAAACTTGAAAGTAAAGAAAAAACCCATTATTTTCACTTTTCAAATCAAGGTAAAAGTACAATAGTACATTCACAAAACTGCCAGCACTATTGGTACAAAGGTATCATTAGCCATACAGAAGAATATCATCAGTGGTAACATTTCTGCGCTTGTAATCTAGGGGCCTAGACAAATAATATGGAAGCGCGATTTGTCTACTGTCCTTACCTTGTCTGGCCTACGTCCGACTCCAGATCTACAAAACATGCTTGTCTTTTACATGTCCTCTGACGTGGCCAAACTGTTCAATGGCATTAATCATTACAGAAAAATTAAATTAAATCAGATGAACCACTTGGCATCCACCTAGGCACTAGATCCAGCCATGGCAACCCCAGTCAAGTACCAACTTGAGAGAGATATACTCACCAAGTCATACCCTGCAGCCAATGTTACAGATTCGATCACCATACATCTTTGGACTGTCCTGCTGATGGCACAGAGTTGAAAAGCTCAATGACATACAGTGGGAAGGGAGTAGCCCGAGGAGTCCTGCACACTGACTCCAGATCTCAAGAGATTCCATCAGCAATAAAACTTTCCGCTGATTCAGGTACTACTTCAATTCATAAATCAGTGCTGCTCCACGCCACACACAACTTGGAAGAACATGAGAGTGGTAAGCACACAATGTTCTATGGTGTAGGGCTTCAACGCTCATCATCAACAATGATTTAGTAGTAGCACCATTAAGTGAGCTTAGAATCCTGAAGGACACAGGTGCTAGACAAGGCTGGTGGCAGAACAAAAAAAGGGAAAAATCCACTTTACTTCAGCTACAATTTCCCTTTCAAAGATGAATCCAAGCACAATAGTGTTGGTAGAAATGATCATTAAATAGCCTTGTGGATGGTGGAAAACATTCAGTGTGTTGTATGGCACTACCACCATACTAAATGATGTAGATTCAGAAGAGAACCAACAGTTCAAAACTGGGCATCCATGAACTCTATGGATTATTAATAGCAGGATTATTGTAATTAATAACTGATTTGGGTTCAACCAAATCTGCATGGCTCCAGATCTCATTATCACCTTGGTCCAAAAATCAATAAAAGAACTAACTCCAAAGATGATGTGAGACTGACTGTCCTCTATGTTAAGACAGCATTTCACCAAGTATGGCATCAAGCAATCAAAGCAAAACTGGAAGATGCTTGCCATTGTAGACAGTCAATCATCTCAGCTGCAGTTCTTCATTACTACAGTTCATCCGGGTGGTATCCCAAGCCCATCCATCTTCAACTACACCTTCCCTTCATTGTAACATCAAAAGTGGAGCAGTTCATTGATGATTACAGAGTACTCATTTCATAACTCAGATAGAAAATTGGTCTGTACCTGCACGCAGCAAGACCTGATCACAATTATGCTTGGGCGAGTAAGTGGTAGATGACATTTGTGTAACGCAAGTTGCCAACAACAACAGATCTTCCCTTAGCATTCAGTGGCAATATCATTCCACAATGCCCACTATACAAAGGGCACGTCAGAGGCAAGGAATTCTGCAGCAAGTAATCTTCCTCCTCACTCTCCAAAACTTGTCCACCATTTATGCAAGTCAAGAGAGTGTGAAAGATTACCCTCCACTTGCCTGGATAATTGCAGATTTAACAACACTCAGGAAGCTCAACACTATCCATGACTAAGGTACCTACTTGATTGGCACCCATCTGACACTTTAAACATTCACCATCTCCACCAATGATGCAGAGGGGCAGCTGTGAACACCATCTGTAAGATACACAGCAGCAAGTCACTAAAGCACCTTCACTACTATCTTCCAAACCTGTGATCTCTACCATTTAGAAGGACAAAGGCAACAGCTACATGGGACATCTCCATTCAACTTTCCCTCCAATTTTTCTTACTGCCTCATGTGCCTCTGAGGTTCGTGTGTAACAGCAGCTTCTGGAAGCAGAAGTCATGCATCAGCAGGCCAATCAACATGTGCAGAACTTCACATTGCTGCATGGCTGCACTGCTCAGAGGAAACGTTACCATTGCTCACAGATTCTACTCTGAGCCACAAATTTTACTGACATGGAACTAGAATCACTGTTTGCTTCATAGTCGCGGAGTCGAAACCTTTGGATTACTATCCTATAGTAGTGTCAATGTCCCCATGCCACATGGATTGCTGTCAGTCAAGAAGGTGATTCACCATCTTCTCAAGGATAATAATGGGCATGAAATGATAGTCTTGCCAGCAGTACTGATAGGCCCTGAATGAACTTAAGAAAAAGAGATGCAGTTATGCAAAATCCATTTTCCTAAAGGAGATGCACTCCATAATATATGACAAGCAGGTCTGGGGCACAAGCCTGGCAGAAAACTTTGTAAAGCTTGGAAAAATAGTAAGTTTTGTTTGGTAAACTGATAGGTCAGCCAAAAAATTTTGGAGGGTCACTCCCAAAACAAATTTCACCCTTTCAATCCCTGTACTGAAGACGATCTGGTACAAACTATGCAGCGCCATAACTTATCAAATCTTCAACAAAAATGTTTTTTTTGAAACTGGGAATTCTCTGATGAATTCACTAAGAATACTTTTCACTGTAAGAAAATAATTTGGGTTTTCAGATGAACAATGTTCTTGAGAAACATTTTGTTGGCTTTGTGAACCAAACATAGTTTATCAAACAAACTGTCGTAAGTGAAATAAGCAAACTGAAGGTTTAATCAGAGCTGATCGATATTGTCCATATTGTTTCTTTGGCAATCTTGTCTTTTTCAAATGCATTCACTCTCTGCAAGCTCACATTACTAACACAAATAATGGCAGTTTTTAGAAATATAATATGAATAAGGTTAAATCTAAAGTTTTGGCAAAGATCTGTAGCTCAAGTTGTGGGTGAGGTTGTTGACTTGCTCGCTGAGCTGGCTTGTTTTCTTTCAGATGTTTCGTCGTCATGCTAGGTGACATCAGTGCAGCCTCCGATGAAGTGATGTTATTCTACTTGGCTTGGAATTTACACTGTCTGGTCGGTTATGGTGAATAGTGTCATTTCTGGTTTTGATCTGTATGGTTTGTATTTGGGGTCCAATTCTGTATGTTTGTTAATTGCATTACAGGTGGAGAACCATGCCTGTAGGAATTCCCGTGTGTGTCTATGTTTGACTTGGGCTACTATGTCCCAGTTAAACTGATGTCCTTCATTGTCTGAGTGTACCGATATTGAGGAGAGTTCATCGTGACGTTTTGTTGCTAGCTGATGTTCATGTATTCTGATGGCGAGTTTCCTTCCTGTCTGTCCAATGTAATGTTTGTGGCAGTCGTTGCATGGTATTTTGTAAACCACATTGGTTCTGCATGTTGTGGGATGAGGTCTTTAATCCTTGTGAGTGTTTGTCGGAGAGTGGCTGTGGGCTTGTGGGCCACCATGATTCCTAGTGGTCTTAGGAGTCTTGTTGTTAGTTCTGATATGTCCCTGATGTGGGGCAGTGTGGCCAGCGTGTTAGGGTGTGCTGTGTACTCCTGTTATTGACTGTTTAGTAGGCATCTGCAGATCAAGTTGCAGGGATATCTGTTTACAGTGAGGATTTTATAGAGGCGCTCTTCCTCCTTTCTGTGTAGTTCCGGAGTTTTGCAGTGTGTCCTGGCCCATTTAACTAGTGTCCTAATGTAGCTTTGTTTGTGGACGTTGGGATGGTTGCTGTGGAAGTTGAGGATTTGATCAGTGTGGGCTGCTTTTCTGTATACTGAGGTTTGGAACTCCCCGTTGGTCATACGCTCAACTTTAACATCAAGAAGTTGATAGTTGTTTTCTTCTTCCCTTGTGAATTTACTGTTAATGAGGTGGTGCATCTCTTCTAATTTGTTGCATTCAATAATGACAAATGTGTCGTCTATGTACCACAGTTTACGTTGAATTGGGGGGGGGGTGGGGGGCGGGGAGAGGTGGGGGAAAGAAGGGTGATGTGTTCAAGTCTTTGCATGACTGCTTCTGCAATGAAAACTGAAATTGGTGACCCCGTTGATCAGTTTGTATACTTGACCATTAAAGAGGAAGTGTGTGGTGAGGCACAGGTCTAGTAGTTTAAGTATGTTGCCATTGTTGATGGAGCTGCTGGTCTGCGTTGCTGCTTCCTCTCGTAATGTGGCCGCTGTTTCTTTGGCTAATGGGATGTCGATTGATGTGAATAAAGTTGTGACGACAAAAAAAACTCCGGAACTACACAGGAAAGAGGAAAAGCACCTATACAAAATCCTCACTATGAACAGATATCCCTGCAACTTCATCTGCAGATGCCTACTAAACAGTCAACAACAGGAGGACACAGTACACTTTAACACACTGGTCACACTGCCCTACATCAAGAACATATCAGAACTGACAACAAGACTCCTAAGACCACTAGGAATCATGGTAGCCCATAAGCCCACAGCCACTCTACGACAAACACTCAAGGATTAAAAACTTCATTCCCACAATATGCAGAACCAATGTGGTTTACAAAATACCATGTAACGACTACCACAAACATTACATTGGACAGTCAGGAAGGAAACTCACCATCAGAATACATGAACATCAGCTAGCAACAAAACGTCACGATAAACTCTCCTCAATATCGGTACACTCAGATAATGAAGGACATCAGTTTAACTGGGACATAGTAGCCCAAGTCAAACATTAACATGCACGGGAATTCCTACAGGCATGGTTCTCCACCCGTAATGCAATCAACAGACATACAGAATTGTACCCCAAATACAAATCCATACAGATCAAAACCAGAAATGATACTATTCACCATAACCGACCTGACAGTATAAATTCCAAGTGGAGTAGAATAACATCGCTTCATCGGAGGCTGCACTGATGTCACCTAGCATGGTGACGAAACGTCTGAATGAAAACAAGCCAGCTTGACAAGCAAGTCAACAACCTAAGGTTAAATCTGCTTTAAACATAGATGCAGTTGATACTGCAATGGACATTTATTTTCACTTCTAGTTGAGATAGGGAACAAAATAACATTCCAAAAAGGAAACTAAAAATAAATCAACATAAAAGCAAGGAGTAGGCAATTCAATCCCGAGTCTGCTCTGCCATTTATCACAATCATGACGATCTAATCGGGCCTCAACTGCACTTTTCTTTACCTCCCAATACACTTTTAACTTGTGTACATCTATCTATCTTCTCAAATTTATTCAGTGTCCCAGCATCCACCACAGACTCCCAGGAGTAAAGGTCACCAATAATCCGGCCTGGTCCACCATGTCGACAATATGGTTAAGAAAGCACACCAATGTCTCTAATTCCTCTGAAGGCTAAGGGAATTCAGCATATTCACAATGACTCTTACCAATTTCTATAGATGTACCATAGAAAGCATCCTATTTGGATGCATCACAGCTTGGCATGGCAACTGCTCTGCCCAAGTGCGGAAGAAATTAGACAGATATGAACGTAGCCCAGTCTATCCCGCAAACCAGCCTTTCTTCAATTGACTCCATCTATACTCCCTGCTGCGTTGGGAAAGCAGCCAACATAATCAAAGATCCATCCACCCCAGTTATACTCTTTTCCATCTTCTTCAGTCAGGCAGAAGATACAAAAGTTTGAAAACACGTACCAAAAGATTCAAGAACAGCTTCTTCCCCACTGTACCCAGGCTTTTGAAGCGACTTCTCATATACTAAAGTTGCTCTTTCTCTGCACCTTCTCTGTGGCTGTAACACTATTTTGCATTCCGTTTGATTCCCCTGTTGTACTTATGGATGGTATGATTTGTCTGGATAGCACGTAAAACAATATTCCTCACTGTACCTCAGTGCATGCGACAATATTAAAATCAAGTCAAAGATTTTGATCCTTTGAGAGAAATAACTGCCCCTCATCTGTTTTAAATCTGCCACCCCTTAATTTAAGACTACGGCCTATGGTTCCAGGTTTGCCTACAGGAGGAGACATCTGCTCCACATCTACTTTGTCAATCCCCGTTAGCATCTTATATACCTCGATTAGATCACTAAAATCTAGCGAGTTTAGGCCTAAACTGCTCAATCTCTCATCATACACAAACATTTTCATCTATGGAATTAATCTAGTGAACCTTCTTTGATCTGGCTCCATGCAAATACATCTTTTCTCAAGAGGAATAAAACTGTACACAGTACTCTGGATGCAGATTCACGAATGCCTTGTACAGTTGCAATCACACTTCACTACTTTAAAACTTTATTCATTTAGTAATATATGCCAAAATTCCATTTGTCTCCCTCATTACCTGCTGAACCTGTCTATTAGTTTTCTGCGATTCATGCACAACGACAACCAGATGTTTAAAAATTCATTCATGGGATGAGGGCATCACTGGCTAGGCAGCATTTATTGCCCATCCCTAATTGCCCAGACGCTGCTAAGAGTCAACCACATTGCCATCCTTACCTGGTCTGGCCTACATATGACTCCAGACCCACAGCAGTTTCCTTCCCTAAAGGACATTAGTGATCCCGCTGCACTGGTGCATTTTTAATTTTCTCTCAGTTTAGATAATAAATTGCCTTTTTCTTCCTGCATCCAAAATAGAAAACCTCATATTTATCCATTTTAAACTCTATCTGGCAAATATTGGCCCTTTCACCTTGCCAATCCATATCTATTTGTAAATTTCTTATTTTTTTTCCATTGTAACATACTGCCCCACCCATTTTAGTGACATCTGCAAATTTGGCTGTGATACATTCTATCCCTGCATCCAAGTCATTAAAATAGTTTCTAAATAGTTGGGGCTCAAGGACTAAACCCTGTGGCACCCTACAAGTTACAGCCTGCCAACCAGAAAAAGACCCGGTTATACCATCTCTCTGCTTTCTCTTTGTTAGCCCCAGTCCTAATATATTACCCCTAACTCTGTGATCTTACCTTGTGCAATAATGAATCAGAGTCACTACAGCATGGATGCAGGCCTTTCAGCCCATTGAGTGCACACCGACCCTCTGAAAAGCATCCCACCCAGATCCAACCCCCTACCTGTACGCCCTGCATTTCCCATGGCCAACTCATCTTGCCTGCACATTCCTGGAAACAACAGGGCAATTTAGCCTGGCCAATCCACCTAACCTGCACATTCTTGGGAAGAAACCGGAGCACCCGAAGAAAACCCACACAGAAATGGGAAGAACATGCAAACTCCACACAGACAGTTTCCAGAGGCTGGAATTGAACCTGGGTCCCTGGCGCTCCAAGGGAGCAGTACTGACCACTGAGCCAACATGCCATCTGAATGTGCAAATTCCACACAGACAGTCACTGGAGGGTAGAATCGAAACTGGGTTCCTGGGGCATGAAGGAGTAGTGCTAACCACTGAGCCACTGTGTCACCGTATCCATTGCCGTCTGGAAATTCAGAATTACATCTACGGGACTCCCATTATCCACTTTGCTGGTTACATCTTCGAAGAACTCTGGCAAATTAGTTAAATACGATTTGCCTTTCATATAACCATTCAGATTCAGATGGATTGGGTTTTGACTTTCCAAATGTCCTGTTACTACTTCATTAATATTGGATTCCAACAACTTTACGACAGAAATAAACTAACTGATCAATAATTCTCTACTTTCTGTCTCGCTTTTTTGCTAAAGGGTATTACATTAGAACTTTTCAATCCAGTGGAACTTTCCAGAATCCATGGAATTTTGGAATATTATAACCAATGCATCCACTATCGCTGCTACCACTCCCTCCAAGATCCTATGATATAGGCTATTGGGCCCTATGGACTTGTTTGCCTTAAATCCCAATAGTTTGCTCAGTACTCTTTCTCTAGTGAACAGGAATGTTTTGAGTTTCTCCTTTTCTATAATCTGTTCATTTGTTACTATTAGGGTGGTTTCAGTATCCTCTACAGTGAAACTGAGGTAAAATATTGATTTAGTGCCGCTGCCATTTTTGTGTTACCCCATTATAAACTCCCCAATCTCAACCTCTAAGTGACCAACATTCACTTTAACGACTCACTTTTGTTTTTATATACTTTTAAATGGCCTTGCTGTCCACTTTTTATATTTTGTGCTAGTTTTCTTTCATAATTTGACTTTTGCTCTTTTTATTACTTTTTTACTAACCCTTTGATGCTCTTCCCCATACTCTAACTAGACACTTACCATTGCAATACTGTAAGCCTTAGTTTTTGCCTTTATGGCTTCTTTAACATCCTTGCTTACCCATAGATGCTTCTCACCTCCCCCCTCCCACCCCTTACATTATTTCTTCCTCACTGGATTATATTTTAGTTTGGAGAAATTGAACATCTCCTTCAACGTCTGCCACTGCTCATCAACTGTCCTACCTATTTGCCTTTTTGGCCAATCCATTCGGGCCAAAACTGTCCTAATGCCTACGTAATTACATCATAACACTGATGTGGGACTCAAATTTCTCACCCTCAAACTTAAGTTGAAATTCAAACACACTATGTTTGCTGTTGATTGTGTATTTGAACCACATTTACTCAAACTAAATGTGAGTCTATCACGCATTTGCCAGCTCTATGAAAGCTACTGAATTCATCTCACTCCCCTATATCCCCTTATAACCTTTTATTGGCATTTCATTTTTTATTATCTCCAAAATTGAACTTTTTGGTTTGGGTGACGGTTACCATGGCAGCAACTATGTGGTAACACTATAGACATCACACATCTCATAATTGGTTCATTTAAGAACAAAACATAAAGGATAAGCCAGTAAAACACTTGTATGAAAACAAATAATGCATACGTGTAGAATTGCTAAGCAAGTATTAAAGCGACTGAATTACAATACAACAAAAACCTTTAGTAGAAATATAGCACTTAAAATGCTAAAAAGATATCCACAGCAAGCCAATCCCCAACATTCATCAATCCAGTCATTGATTAACACGCTTTCACAGTCCCTTTAAATTTTGAGGCTGTCCTATCATACAACGACGAACAAAAGTAACTCCAAACATGATATTTTCAACTACTCTCCCCCCAATGCTGCTTACTTCTTCAAACTAGGAATGGGCAAAAGGTAAAAGCAAGGCTTTGCTGGGCCTAGTCGGGAATTACGAAAAGGGCTTCATTGATCGCCAGGGAAATTCTGGAAACACAGATCCATCTGCAATCGCGGTTTATAACAAGATGAGGAGGAAAACGTTTCATGGGATCTGGGAGCCGAATATCCACGGAATTAAAACGATCCAAACACAAACATAGAGAAACACCAACCTCGTCAGCGCCATTTTCTCAACAAAGTTGCTGTCACCGCCACCGTGCGTCTGACGTCACGTCGCACACTTTTGAAACGTTTGCGTCTGATGTCATCGCGTACCTACCGCCCTACCTTTGAAGACACTGCTTCTGGCGTCATTACGCGGCCCGCCTGCGTCCCCTGACGTCAGCCCGTCCACGGTTCTTCCATCCCTGTTATAGGCTTCAACCTCACAGCCTTTGGTGGGTTTTAGTCGCCCTCATGACCTTTTTTGATTAACGTTTGTTTTATTATAAAAGATACGTGTTTTTATCTCCCTTTGCAGGCGATACTTATCCAGTCTAGCGAACTAAAATGTAAAAAGCCGGGCCGGGATTTCATCGTTTGACCGTGGGGGTAGACATGTTGTAGTTTTTCTCCGCGTGAGAGTCTGTTAGAAACAAACGGAACTCCCCGGAAAAACTGACTACAAATCCCGGTGCACCCCGCGCGAGTGGGATATTCCATTATCTGCACGGGACAGGGGTAGGGTATTCGAGTGTCAGAGGGCGAAGGTGAGTGATGACAGTAGGCGGTAAGTGCATGTCAGGCGGGGCGCAGTTAACGTGATCGCCAGGAACTATAATGCTAGGCCCTGACTATAAATGAATCATATTTGTAGCTTTTGAACATGAAACTGACAAATATATACGACAATGAACTGCGGTTATTGCAGGTCTGAAACAAACAGAAATTTCTGGAGAAACTCAGCAGGTCTGGAGTTCTGAGTTATCAGTTCTGAAGAAAGGTCTTTGGACTCGAAATCTTAAGTCTTTTTGTTTTAGTTTCCATTGATGTTGCCAGACCATCCGAGTTTCACCGCTACTTTCTGTTTCTGTTTGTGACTGACAGATATGTGTTTGATTAGATAACACTGCGAGCTGGATATGTGGAAACTGATTACTCTCAGTTGCATAAGTGAGTGAAAGGTCAGTTCTGTAATGTGTAGATCACGGCAGTTCAGGGAGACTAAGAAACCATAAATTTTCCATAAAACCATGCAGGTAATGAAATGAAGTTTGGAAATAGGTAATGTAATGTGTCAAAATGCGCATGCAAAGTTGCATAACTGTAGTATCAGCGTTGGTTGTATTGTACTAATGTCTAACTGGCAGCTGCAAAAGTTGTAAACGAACTTACTACTTAATTCCACAATCTGTACAGCACTATTCTCACGACTCCTATTGATGTTGGCCTTGTTGCTATCCTGAAAACTTGCTGAGAATACTGTTGCAAGTAATTCACCTCCTTACTCCCCAAAGCATGTCTGCCATTTACAAGGCCCAAGCTAGGAGTGTGATGGAATACGCCCACTTGCCTGGGTGGTACAGCTCCAGCAACACAAGAAGCTTGACACCGTCCAGGACAGGCCTGCCTGCTTGATTGGCACCACATCCACAAGCATCCACTCATTCCACCACTGATGCTCAGTAGCAGCCGTGTGTATCATTTACAGGATGCACTGCAGAAGTTCCACAAAGATCTTTAGACAGCACCTTCTAAGCCCATAGTTATTTCCATCTAGATACACGGGAACACTACCACCTGCAAGTCCACCTCCAAGCTACTCACCATCCTGACTTGGAAATATATCGCCATTCCTTCACTGTCACTGAATTAAAATACTGGAATTCCCTCCCTAACAGCAAATGGACTGCAGCAGTTTAAGGAGGCAGCTCACCACCACCTTATCAAGGGCAACTAGGGAAGGGCAATAAATACTGGTCCAGCAAGTGACACCCATGTCTCACAACTGAATACAAAAAATGTGATGGCTTAGTGGTATAATTGCCACACTATTAATCCAGATACCCAGGTAATGATCTGGTGGTCCTGTTTCTGCCATGGCAGATGGTAGAATTTGAAATCAATGAAAAAAACGAATTACAAGTCTAATGTTGACAGAGACAGTAGGAACTGCAGATGCTGGAGAATCTGAGATAACAAGGTGTAGAGCTGGATGAACACAGCAGGCCAAGCAGCATCAGAGGAGCAGGAAAGCAACCATTGTGGATTGTCAGAGAAACACTAGTGGCTCACGGATGTCCTTGAAATAACCGTACAAAGGCCAGTATCCTGTCACCAAGTCACCCTTTATTTACATGTGCATAGTACATGGACTCTCATCAGTTAGCCCAGAGCCAGTCCCTAGAGTGAGGATACTCTCTGAATCTTCTGTTTACATCTGTCAGCCAGGGCTCCCTAATTGGCCCGGGTTAACAAACCCAATCAAGGCTCTCATAGTCAATGAGATCCGCCTGGCCTTTGTTCCAATCACTAAATTCCTTTAGGAGAAGAAACTGTCATCTTACCAGGTTTAGCCTACATGTGACTCCAGACCTTACAACAATGTGGTTCACCCATGACTACTTTTGGGCAATTAAATACAGGCAATAAATGCTAACCTAGCCAGTGATATCTACATCCTGAATGAATTTAAAAAAAAAAAAAGTTTCTTAACTTCTGAAATGCTTTATTGCCATGTGTTCGAAGTTTCCTGTTGTAATATAGGAAATACAGCAGGTAATTTACATGCAGGAAGCTTCGAATTGAATAACTGCTGAGTCTGCAATTTATTGACGTAAATATTGAACTGGACAAAATTTGACTTCCTACTAACCCCTCAGGTACATCACTTGAAACTTTGCTGCAACAGAGCAACATCTGATTAACCTAACCCATTGTTCCCTGTCCATCAGGCATTGTTTTATCTGTTATTACATTTTCTTTAGAACCATGCCCATGACACTTACTAACAAGCTTTATATGAGACATCTTATCAAACACCTACTGAAAGTCCATTCGGATAGCTCAGAGAAAATAATAGTCCATCAGTCAATTGTTAACAAAGCATTCCTGGCAAACACAACTTTCCTTTCCAAAATGAGTGTCAGCAGACCCTGATTAACTCTTGCATTTCTTTGTGCTAATGATCTTTTGTTTCCCCTCATGGGAGAATCTAGGACCAAAGGGCAAAATCCCAGAACAAGGGATCACCCATTTAAGACAGAGATGAGAAGGGATTTCTTTCCCAGAGGGTATTGAATATGTGGAATTCTTTATCACAGGGCGTTGTATAGAGTCAACATCTTTTTCCCAGGGTAAGAGAGACCAAAACTAGAGGGCTGTTGAGGCTGGTCATTAAATATATTCAAGGCTGAGACAGACAGATTTTTAATCTAGTCGGGGGATCAAATGTTTGGGGTAAAGGCAGAAAAGTGGAGTTGAGGACTGTTGGATTATTCGTGATCTCATTGAATGGTGGAGCCAATGTGTCGGGCTGAATGGCCGATTTCTGCTCCTGTGTCTTAAGGTTCTCATCTTAAGTAATTGTTTATAAGAATTCGTCACCAAGTGATGTTAGACTATTTTTAACTATGGAATCTTGTGTGTGAGTATTCTTTGCTCCTGGCGCATAAAATGAAACTCACTGTGATTGAATGATAATCTTAAATTGTTTTCTGGTGTATTCTTAGCATAGTTTGGGTTAATTAGTAAATGTTGTCACATCTGGTCCTTGACACTGTATTCTGAGATTTGTGAATACCGGCTGGTTGACTGTCCAAGGGGTCTGAATATCTCCTTGCCCTTCACTGTCCAGGGTGCTGGACACCACCATTCCCATTTTCCAGTGAAGCTAGCTTCCCAATTATCTGATGGATATTGGATAGGAGCAGGATTGAACTAGCAGGGTGTGATGTCCTCCATTAGGCAAGAGTTTGGCTGCACACAACCTAATACACTCTTATGTAAAGTTTACAATCAGAGTTCGGGGTGGGGGGGATGGCTGCTGGCCCCTTTTAGATTTGCTGACTGGCACCTTTGTCTCCAAAGCAATTCTTAAAGAGGATGAAATGACTGCGAAACACTTCTGAAGAACACACCAGGCTCTGAGTACCATCCATGTAAACATACTCCCTCCTTAGAGTTAAGAGAGGGAATGGGAGAAAATTGGCAAGAAATTAACCTTGATTCACAACTTCAACAGTTGGCTTTTACTGATATTTATAAATTGCTAAAGCTGTCTTTTGTCTACCGAGGCAAACCAGATTTCAAAGGGAAAGACACTTATGCCAGTTTGGCTCAGTAATGCATTTTCTTCTTGCTGTTGCTTCTATTCCAACATCAGCCTTCTTTCATGCGTTTTGTGTGATAATACTCTGCTGCAGTATTGTATTGCTGGATATGACAGCCCTGGGATGAGGTCCTTAAACTGGGCCAAAAACAGAAATTGTTGGAGAAACTCAGCACTTCTGGCAGTGTCTGTGGGAAGAAAGCAAAGTTAAAGTTTTGAGTCCAGTGATTCTTCATCAGAGAAGATGGGGAGGCAATGGCCTAGTGATATTATCACTAGACTATTAATCCAGAGACCCAGGTTCAAATCCTGCAGATGGTAGAATTTGAATTCAATGTTTTAAAAAATCTGGGATTAAGAGTTTAGTGATGACCATGCAAAACTTTGTCAACTGTTGGAAACACCTGTCTGGTTCACTGATGTCCTTTAGGCAAGGAAGTCTGCCATCCTTACCCAGTTGGGCCTACATGTGAGTCCAGATCAACAGCAATGGGGTTGACTTTCAACTGCCCTTTGGGTAATGAGGGATAGGCAATAAATATCAGCATAGCCATTGATGCCCATGTCCCGTGAATGAATTAAAAAAAATGTAGTTCTTTTACCTAGTTCCAAACTCCTGCCTTTCCCCATGTATCCCTGAATGTTATTTTTATCCAAATAATCATCCAATGCTCTCTTGAATGCCTCAATTGAACTTGCCTCCATTTTTTCCAGACAATACATTCTGTACCCTAACTACTCAGTGTGAAAAAGTATTTTGCACATCACCTTTGCTTCGCTTGCACATCATTTTAAATCTTTGGCATGTCATTCTTTTTTCTTTTAAAGAGTGGGAACAGCTTCTCTCTATTAACTCCATCCAGCCCACTCATGATTTTGAAAGCCTGTATTAAATCTTCTTTCAGCCTTCTTCTCCAAAGGAGAACATTCCAAACTTTTTCAATCTCTCCTCATGCCTGAAGTTTCTCATTCCTGGATCCATCCTTGTAATTCTCTCCTGCACACTCTCCAATGCATTCATATTTTTCCTATAGTGTAACATCCACAATTGTACAGACTGCTCCAGCTGAGGTCGAACAAGTGTCTTTAGAAGTTCAACATTACTTCTTGTATCCTATGCTCCTATTAATAAAGCTGAGGACACTGTATGCTTTAATAACAATCTCCACCTGTCAAACTACCATCAATGAACTGTGCACATCTATACCTAGGTCCCTCTGCTCCTGCATCCTCTTTAGAATTGTACCCTCTATTTTATATTGTCTTTCAATGTTATTCCGGCCAAAATGTATCACCTCACACTTCTCTGCATTGAACCTTATCCGCTACCTTTCTGCCCACTCCATAACTTGTCCATGTCCTTTTGGGAGTTTCACACTGTCCTCCTCATAGCTTACAATTTTTCCATGTCTAGTGTCATACTGAGCAGCAACTGAAAATATCATTACGGCTTGCTTAAA